TGTGGATGATTGTGCAGGAAGAGGGAAACCCTGCGAAAATGGGGCCACTTGTCTGGACCTGGTGAATGCGTACAAGTGTGTGTGTCCGGCTGGATTTGCAGGTAAAAATATCGTGGAACGAACTGATTTTAGTTGCCAGATTTGCCAGAGTTGAGATTTGAACTGATGCCAGATTTTAGTTAAATTCATGTGCGGAAGAATGTTCCTGTAAAACAAAATTGGAAGGCAATTTGATCAACAAAGGTTTTATACTTTTTCTAAAATAACTATTCGAAGTTCAAATTTGAATGCAAGTGTGTGTGTTGTGACCGGATTTGCAGGTAAATACATCATGTTACGTGCAAAATACTGTTCGTTGCGGCAAAAAAAATATTGGAAGCCAAATCGACCAACGAAGGTTTTATATATTGTACTTCACTAAAATAACTATTTGAAGTTCACGTCGTGTTGGTAAAATAATCGGTCAGCTAAACGCACTCTTTTTTTGTTACGGTAATAAAACTCTGCATTAATTTATTAAAGATTATCCCCAATTACATTGTAATAATTCTAATTCATTAGTGTTTGAGACGATGACCCGCTATTACCATTTTGAGATGGAAAGGGAAAGAGCATTAAAATCCCTACCAGTCCTCGCCAAATTTTTTTTTAATGACATTAATTGTTTATTTCCTTTTAAATAATGAGACGCATATAAATCCCCAACAAATACAACTGAAAAATTGAATTTTTCCGAGTGTGCGTCTTTTATTCATTTGATGCAGTTTTCAAGTAGCTTGAATTTTTTTATGATTATTATTCAATAAAGTAGAACATTGAAGAACGCGTCTACTCTCACATTTGTTTCACTGTTGAAAAAAAAAATCCAAGATGGATTCACGCGGGGAAAAATGCTTGATAAACATTCAAAAATAGCTCAATTGTTTTTCCCCGCAATAAGTTCCTAATTAAATGGGGACGAAGAATTTCCATCGAGACATCAACGACCTCGTGAATATGCCTGAGGAAATGTTGACCCGTGCCTCCATGTTGAATGCCAACGACACTGATGCTCTTTGTAACGAGTCCATGTAGAGCAAATCATGCGTCACGGGATTCCGCAATTAGTGTCTTTATTCATGCGCTACGAAACACGCCGACGGCGATATTGAGCACATCTTTTTTTTTTTTTGGTGTTTTATATTCTCTGTCATAAGCATCAAATTGACAGAATTCTTGTCTTTCTTCGGGAAGAAATGATCCCAAAAAATAATAAAGGCTGCTTGAATGATAATTGTGGGATTTAAAACAAATTAACTGTGCTTTTCTCGTGCTGCAAAATGTGCTGATTTGAAGAAGAGTTCGAAGGTTTTCGTCGGATGATGAAAACGCACGGACAGCTTTTTATTTTATTTTATTTGCAAATAACCTAGGAAATATTATGTGGGTTCATCAACAAGTATTGAGCACATATTTTTTAGTGTTCTATATTCTCTGTCATATAAACATCCAATTGACAGAATTCTTGTCTTTCTTCGGGAAGAAATGATCCAAAACAAAAAAGATTGCTTGGATGACAATTTTGCAGATTTAAAATAAAATAACTGGGCTTTCCTCGTGCTGTAAATGTGCTGATTTGAAAAAGAGTTCGAAAGTTTTCATCGAATGAGACAGCTTTTTTTCCTCTACAGGTTTTGATAGATTTTTTCTATTTGATTTGCAAATAACCCAGGAAGTATTTCATGGGTTCATCAACAAGTGAAATATTTGTTTTACATTTTCCAGGTGAAAATTGCGAGAAGAACGTGGATGAATGCGAAGGAGATCCTTGCCAAAACGGCGGTTCCTGCGTGGATTTGGTTGCTGGTTATCGGTGTATATGTTCACCAGGTTATTCCGGGAAAAACTGCGAGGTAAGTTTAAAAAAAAATTAGACTAAAACCTTGCGCAATTACAAGTTTCGAAGAATTTCAAAAATGTGTACAGCAGATCACGTACCATATGTATAGAAATAATTGCCCGCGAATTTGAGAATTCCTCTCGTTGGGAATTTTATTTTTTCTACGAGAGTAAATAATTATAAATGGTGTTTTTGCTCTACTTGGGATAGAAATGCATTCCATAAATTTAATGAATATGCTAGTAAAATGTTGCGTGATACTTTTTTCTCTAGGCCTAAACCGTTTTCTGATGCCTGGAATTCCTTTTAGTCAACGAACCGAAGCAGAAGCTTCTTCCATCATTTGATTATTTATATATAGTCGTAAAAAGAAAGAAAAAAAAACATTCCCCATTTGGACGGACATTTTGAAAGTATGGTTGTTTTCCCTAGATACTCATTTGATTAATACGAATCGATCCGAGTCAAAATTCAGTGATAATTTCGCCATTATTTCCGAGTTCCGTAATTATTTCCACGGTTTATCTATTTTGGGGCCGAGGCAATAAGTTCTTCGAGTTTGTGTATATAGACTTCGTCTCACTTTATTCAGTGTGTATTTTATTTTATTTAAATTTTTTGCGGAAGAGACGGACGCGGATTTGAGTCAAAATTCAGGGATAATTTCGCCATTTGCGGGTTTCGTCTTTATTTTTAGTGAATATTTATTTTTTCGGACCGAGACAATAAGTTCTTTGAGTCTGTAAATAGACTTCGACTCAATTTATTTATTAGTTTTTATTTATTTTCTTTTTTGTGGAAGAGACGGACGCGGATTTGAGTCAAAATTTAGGGATAATTCCGCCATTTGCGGGTTTCGTCTTTATTTTTTTGTGAATATTTTTTTTTCGGACCGAGACAATAAGTTCTTCGAGTCTGTAAATAGACTTCGACTCAAAATATTTATTAGTTATTATTTCTTGTTTTATGGAAGAGACGGACGCAGATTTGAGTCAAAATTCAGGGATAATTTCGCCATTATTCGCGAGTTCCGTCTTTATTTTCGCGGTTTATCTATTTTGGGGCCAAGACAATAAGTTCTTCGAGTCTGTATACATAGACCTCGTCTCACTTTATTCAGTATCTATTTTACATTATTTTTTTCTTTCTTTCTGTCTTTTTTTTTTTTTCGGAACAGACGGACGCGGATTTGTGCGTGCCGAATCCTTGCGCAAATGGAGGAACGTGCTTCAACGCAGGGGCCGGGTACCAGTGCGATTGTCCGCACGAGTTCTTTGGCAGGAATTGCACGGAACCCAGGCTCACTTGCCTCAATCCTCCTTGCATTCGTGAGTTTTCAACCCAATTCTTTTATTTTTGTAATAGGTTTACAGGATAGACCCTCGTTTCAACGAATATTCGACTGCAACGAAGTATTTTTATTTTTGGGGTCCCTGTCGAATTGCCGCAATGTTAAATGAGTTACTGTTTATGGCGAATTTCGTATAACGAAGTGTGGAAAAGCATCAGCTGTCAGTTGCCTGAAAATATGGCGTCTGTTGAATGCTGAAAATTGATAAACTACTGAGGAGCTGTAAATTTTTTTTTTTATGAAGTTTTTTTAATTTGGCACTTTTGTGTGTGGTGAGAATAGCACCTTTGGAATGTTTACGAATATTTTATCCGTTTAAATATCTGATGAATTGAACATGAGTTGAAATTCGCCTGAAAAGTAGCTTTGAAGGCTCGTTATAGATTGTAACGTGTTCATTGGAAAAATATGACCCCCCCCCCCCTTAAATATAAAGTTTATGAAAAGCAATGGAAAAAATTTATAAATGGGTTTCCACCAGTTTTGAAAATATGTTCAGATTAGGTGGTTTTTTTTTGGCAGTCTGTCATATTAGGAATACTTTTCACGAGGGTAAACCGGATTTAATCCAAGTCAGCAGGATTTTCCGTTAACATTTCAGTGTCAAGGCATTATTTTCCTCTGTTTTTTGTTTTTTTTTTTTGTTCCACGTTCCAAAATATTGTTTTCAATCCTTCTGATTATTTATTCCGAATTGAAACCGTCTTCTTTTAAATTTATTTCCCAGGAATGAACATATGTTCGGTGCCTGTGCCATCGAATGCAACTGGGATTACTGGTCACGTGTCCATGAGTGAATACGAATTGGTGCCATCGAGAATTTGCGGAGAACATGGGACCTGTGTTTCGAGTGCAGAAAAAAGCGACGAGTTTTCCTGCGAATGCGAACCCGGTTTCACAGGAAGATATTGTCACATAAGTGAGTACAATGATTTTTTATTTATTTCTTCTCTCGTTTTTTGCCTCGGAAATTCCTATTCACAAAAACAAATTCTGTACAGCTTATAAAATTATGAATATTCTTTTTCTGTTGGGAAAGTATGTTTTGGATTTTTTTCAATAACAGGCAAAGTTTTATTTTTCCGCGTGGGTGTTTATTTCTGCAGGAGTTGATTGAGTAGAAAGAAACAGCAGGAGAAGTAAATTACTCTGATTGATTCCCATAAGATCATTTATATTGGGGACAGATGTCACCACATTATAAGTTGATGTCAAGTGTCAAGTATTGCAATAAAACACAGCGATCAGTCTGGGAAAGGACCGGAAATTCCTTTTAGGAATTCCTAGTGTAACAGGATAATTGTATTTCACAAAGATAAACTGATTACTCTCGTAAAAAAATTTAATTCCCGACGAGAGAAAGTCTCAAATTAGTGGGCTATTATTTCTATACGTAGTTACGTAATCCGCCGTACACATTTTTGAAATGCTTCAAAACTTGTAATTGCGCAAGTTTTTAGTCTTTTTTTGTTACGTACCTCGCAGTTTTTTCCGGAATAAAAGTGTTGAAGGTTATCAAAACTTTGAGAAGTAAGGATAACACACTGTTATTCAATAAATTTAGGAATGATTTGGCTGAGTTTTTTTTTTTAATGAATTTCCAATGGGAATCCACAGAGACGTTTTTGTTGCTCTCTTTCTCCTTATTTTTCTGCGGGAACTGCTTGCATTTAATGTTTTCTGATGATCACAACGCAAAAAATGAAGACAGAAATTCGTATTAATATTGTTTTTTTTTTCAAAAGATATTTTGTGTTGCGTTAAATCGTCTGTGAGAATGTGCCGAACCATTCAGCAGCAGCTTCTTCAAGTGCCGCCCGTTTGAAATCCGAGACTCTTGACTGAGGGTCGAATTACTTCCATCTCCTGTTTGCTGTGCCTTCTTCTGTTTTATTTATCTTTTTTTCATTAGCCTCAGTCCTATTGGTACTTGTTTAGTTCCGTCTCTGTCCACAGTAGTAAACGTGGAAAATTCATTTTTTATGACGAGATTTTTTTTTTTTGGGTGAGATTCCGGGTTTTTGAATATTTTTCGGTTTCGAAAATGGATTTAGTGTATGTAGTGCTTTCATGCATTCATTTGATCCGGATATTTCATATTCGGAGGCATTCTTTATTTTTAAATATTAACTGAGGAATTATTTTCTGAAAATTCACGTTATGTGAAATGAAAGAAATTTTAGGAGTAGAATAATCGTTTTATTCAGTAAATTACAAGATGCAATTTTTCCGGAATTTTTACGCACAATATTTTCAATCGCGGGTTCAAAAAGTTTTCAGAACTTGGTTCTTTTTTCGAGTAAGGATTATTTTATTCTTCAAATGATCAACTCGTGAATAATTTTAGGGACTTTTCTCTTTTCCTCAGCAGTAATTTTTGGAGTGCGTTTGCAATTTCAGATTGTATTAAATTACTTCTCGGAACATACTCAAAGGTTAAGTGTTCCTCGTCAAGAAGAAACGAGTACGAATTGAATTTATTTTGGGTTTTTGCGGATTAATTTTCTGAAAATTCGCGATATATAATTTGGAATGCATTTCAAGAAAACGGCAATCGTTTTATTCATTAGACGTATCACATTTTTAGAACTGCGATGGATTTTTTCCGGAATTTTTGTGCGCTGGTTCAAAAGTAATTTTCGCAGAAATTACTTTTCAGAATTTGGTTCTTTTTTTATGAAGGATTATTTTAATCTTGAAAATATCAAGTCGTGGATAATTTTAGGAGCTTATTTATTTTCCTCACTGGTAATTATTGAACTGCGTTTGCAATTTCAGAGTGAATGAAATTATTTCTCAGAACGTACTCAAAGGTTGAATGTTTTTCGTTGAGAAGGGAAGAGGGCGAATTAAATTTATTTTGAGTTTCTGCGGATTCATTTTCTGGAAATTCACAGTATATAATTTGGAATACATTGCAAGAGTACATTAATCGTTTTATTCATTAAATTATGAGCCCTGATGACGTATCACCTTTTTTAGAACTTTGATGAATTTTTGCGCGCAGTATTTTCAATCGCTCGTTCGAAAGAAATTTTCGCAGAAATTCATTCTTAGAACTCGTTTCTTTTTTTATAGGAAGGATTTTTTTATTCTTCAAATTATCAAGTCGTGAATAATTTTAGGGACTTTTGTCTTTCCCTCAGCAGTAATTTGCAATTTCAGATTGCGTGAAATTATTTCTCAGGACATCCTCAAAGGTTAAGTGGTTTTCGTTAAGAAGAAAGGAGTGCGAATTAAATGTATTTTGAGTTATTGCGAAGGATGGAAAAAATTTGCGATGAGACACACACACACACAAAAAAAAGTGAAGATGCGCTGGTTTGCGGACTGGGGAAGTGCAAATATTGCGCGTGTTTGCCCCTCGCGCAATATTCCTTGGGCTTTTTTTTTTTTCTCACCTCTCCTTTATTTATGTCTCTTTATTTCGCCTTCCTTCTGAAATGAACAGTTCCTTTCTTTTCTCTATCCGTTTTCTCTCTCTTTTTCCGTATTCTGTGCGTGTGTGTGTGTGTGTGTCTGGGTTGGTTGTAAAGGGAGGCTTAGTGGTTTTGTGCGCGAATGGTTTCAGATTTCGCAAAATCATGCGCCTTGACGGCGTGGAGAGGTTCTTGGAATTTCACGGTGTCGCCTATATCTTGTTTCTTAATGTCTGGGGGGATTCAAGGGAAAGAACTGTACTGTAGTTTTTTTTTTCTTTGCCCCCAACCAAATTTTGCATACGTGTAATTTTTTGCCCGACTAGTAATTACAGGGTGAGGTTTTAAAAACAGCTGGCTTTGTTGAGATTCCTTTAGTTTTTACTGCAGCGTCGATGCGCGAGAAGCTTTGAGAGATTAATAATCTTGAGATTTTGCAGTTGACATTTTTATTTTTGATTATGTAACGACTTGGAAAAGCATCAAGTGTCAGTTACCTGAAAATATGGCTTCTGCTGAATTACTGAAAATGAATAATTTGCTGACGAGCTGGAAATGTTTACGAGACTTTTTTCAGAGCTGCTTGCGTTTGAGTTTCAAAAATTTGGTCTCTTTTTTTTTTGCTGAGAATAACAGCTTTCGAAAGTGTGCAAATATTTTAGCCCTGTAAATATACTGTATCTGATAAATTGAAGACGAGTTTTGCCTGAGGAGATTTTTCTAATGCTGACGTTATAAGAAGCCTTCGAAAAAAAAAGAAATATGTAGCTGTAAATTTTTATTTTTTTTAGCGTCAGTGAGAAGTTGAAAAACTGAAATTTCGAAGATTTTTCACCTTTAAAATGTGTAGCAGAGCTGAAAACACACGACACTGAAAAAAAAAACTTGTTTTAAAGCTGTACATTTTTTATTTTATTTTTTTAGCGTCAGTGAGAAGTTGAAAAACTGAAATTTCGAAGATTTTTCTCCTTTAAAATGTGTAGAAGAGCTGAAAACATATGAGACTGAAATTGGAAAAAAAAACTTTTTATAGCTGTATATTTTTTTTATATTTTTTTAGCGTCAGTGAGAAGTTGAAAAACTGAAATTTCGAAGATTTTTCACCTTTAAAATGTGTAGCAGAGCTGAAAACATATGACACTGAAATTTAAAAAAAAAACTTTTTTTAAAGCTGTAAATTTCTTTTGAAGATTTTTTTCAAAGTCTCGTAAATTTTCTTGTCTGAGAAATGAGGCTAATTATCGCCGGGTTTTTTTTTTTTTTTTGAACCCTGTACCAGTTGTAACCCAACACCATTACTTACCGAATTCCCAAGGAACCCCGAGGCGAAAAAAAAAGTAGAAATCATTGCAACCGTTGAACTGCGATCATCAAACAAATTAATGACTTCCCCCTTTATCAGGTTACACACTGCTGAATTATTACGTTCGTCTGTCGATTAATCATTCATTGTCTTAATAATTCATTGTCGCAGACTCCGATTAATGCTGCTGCAATCCAATTTTTTTCCCATTGATTTATGATGCTGCAAAAATCCTCCCATGTTTTTTCCTGCAGTGTTTTGACGCCGGGATTAAACGCGACAAGTCCCTGAACTCCCCCAGCTAAAGGCTAGTTAACTTGGAAAGGTGGGGGAAAAAAAAAAACAGAGACAGCACACCTTTTTTATTCTCCTTGGCACTATTTAATACGTAACGTTGGGTCAAAGTCTGCCAATTAGGGAGAAGAAAAAGGGGGAGGTTTTTGTCCAATTAGAATGCCTTTGAGGTAAAGAACTTTTTTGCTCATTTTCCCGAGGTTTATGCAATTTTTCAAACGACCGTCAAGAAGGGATTAGTTTGGGGTAAAATAAATCAATGTCACGACGAGAGCGAAATTTCTGCGGATAATGTCGCGATTTTTTTATGCTTTAGATGTAACGAAGACTTTTTGAACGCAATTACTAATATTTTAGTTGGATTGCCGTTTGACATCAGGGTAATTTTTCCAATTATGAATTATAAAAACTGTCGAAGATTTCGGGGAAACTTGGGATATTTGTCACTTGGGATGAATTAAATTAATTTGATTAGATGTCGTAGAATAATTTTTCAATGTTTTCTTCGGCTTTTTACTGCTTTTTTTTGAATTTTCCATCACCTGAAATGTAAGATTTAATGTTGTACCCAATTTAATCTTTCACTTCCTTTCAAAACGCATCCAATTCCAGTTGCTTGTCTCTTTTCTGCGTGAAGAAAAGAATAGCCTAAAGGCCTCAGGAAATTTGAATTACGGAGGTTTGATGAAGGATCACATAATAAATAAATAAATGAATAAAAACAGGCAATCAGCCTTTTAAGACCAAGAAAACTTATTCAAGGGATCACCGTGAATATATATGTTCCTAGTTTTGAATCATGTTCATTGAACAGTTTCAAAAGAGTCAAAATGAACTTGAGATTTCAAGAGAATACTGTACACACAATCAATTCCCGCAACAGATTTGAAAAACACAATCAGTTCACAAAAAGGAAAATCACAGATTTGTGCACAATTCATTAAAAAGAAGGAAATGATAGTCCCTTAAAGAGTTCAGGACAGACTACAGTACTTATAAATTTGAGTTAATTGGAGCGTTTATTGGGTTTTTGGAATTGTCTGGTCAGGTGAACTGACCTGAAATTTCCAGAATATTGTTGCATATTCTGATTGGCCAAAAATAGAAAAATCAGAGAAATCAATGTGCTGCATCATCAGCTGATGATTCCTCTTTATCATTTTTTTTTTTTTTCAACAGTAGGTTTGAGAGGAAAATCCTTGGATTTAGGTTTTTAATTAAGTGTTTTTTTTAGGGAATTCTGTTGGGGACTTGAAATAAATTTGACTTGGGGAGGTTCAAGTTGTTGAGGTTCAACTCTGTTTTATTCTCTTCCTTTTTTCTTCAGTTTATTTATTCAATTAATTGTGTGCTCATTGTAAAATACAATTGCGTGTTTTTTTCTGCAGATATAAACGATTGCGCATTGGTTAAATAGAGTTGTTCTTGGTTTTTTTTTCTTCCTTTTTTCTTCAGTTTATTTATTCAATTAATTGTGTGCTCATTGTAAAATACAATTGCGTGTTTTTTTCTGCAGATATAAACGATTGCGCATTGGTTAAATAGAGTTGTTCCTGGTTTTTTTTTAATTGCCTGGTCAAGTGAGCTGACTAGAAAATTCCAGAACATTCTTGCATGTTCCCTGGCCTCTGATTGGCCAAGAATAGAAAAATCAAAGAAATCAATGTGCTGCATCATCAGCTGATGCATTCCTCTCTATTAATTTTTTATGCAACAGGAGGTTTGAGAGGAAAAGCCTTGGATTTAGGTTTTTAATTAATTGTTTCTATGGGAATTCAGTTGGGGACTTGAAATAAATTGGACTTGGGGAGGTTTGAGTTACTGAGTTCAACTCTAGCTTCCCTTATTTTTTCTTCAGTTTTTCTATTTATTTATTCAATTAATTTTGTGATTTTTGTAAATGCAATTATGTGCTTATTGTAAAATGCAATGGTGTGTTTTTTTTTCTTCCTGCAGATATAAACGATTGCGCATTGGTGAGTTGCCGCAACGGAGGGACATGCGTGGACGGAGTTGATTCGTATCAGTGCATTTGCCCGATCGGGTTTGGAGGAGCTCATTGCGAAATCGGTGAGTTTTGCCATTATTTTCCTCTGTCTATCTATTTCGCAGCCTCCGTTTCCCTGTTGTTGTTGTTTTTTTCTTGTGCCAAATGTTGAGGGGATTTTTGCGCGACGATTGTGCACTTCCCACGCCAATTAAAGTTTTCCGCGAGCTTCTGCTGGGAACATATGTGAACGCGATGCGATTCTTGCGTTTGACCCGTTCCAGTCCACTGAGGCTTTTGCTCATTACTCGTTTCGAGATCGTGAGATGAATGCAGTGATTGTCGAATGTTTTTATCTGTTCTCTGGGGGTCTAATAGGAAGGAAACTTTTGAAGTTTTCACGAGCTGAAGTTGGGTAGAAAAAAGAAAAGAAAAGGACGTTAAACCCGTGCGCAGAAAGCGAAAATTTACCATATTTTCATAAGTACTGTACAAGGTTTTGATTTACAAATTACAAATTTCAGTCAGCAAAATTGTAAAGTTTCTCAACCGTCGACGCCTCTTATTCTGAAACATCATAATTCGAATAATCTTCTTTCTTTTTGCTATACTCGAGAAAATTTCTGAAAAATATTCTGGATATTTTTTTAAATCGATATAAGTATAAATCAAGTCAAACAATTCAGACGTTTATAATTTAAAATGAAAATGTTCGATGAAGTAATTTTTCATATCATGTCAGCAAGTATAAATTTCTTCCTCTTGAGAAAATGCTGGTTCGTTGAACTTTAAAATAATCCAGAAAAGTTTATTTTCGAGCTTTCTGCATTTTTCGATATGATTTCTTCTCGTTGCTGAAATGCTGAATATTTGAGCTTTGAAAAAATTTAGAAGCTTATTGTCGAGCTTCTTGCATTTTTCCGATCAAGTAATGTCGTATCATCAATTATATTTTCTTCTGAAGAAAAGTTTGCGATTCTGGAGTTCAAAAATCATGATAATTCGCGGCGTGCTTGCCCAAGAGTAGCTGCATCCTTGGTTCTTAACTTAATTTTTGAGAAAAACAAATATATATATATATATATATACCTGTATATATATATTTCAAGTACCTGCCATGAGGTCTTCCAAGCAATTTTTTTTAGTCTGAATTTGCTGGTCTGCAAAAAGATTATGGAAATTTGCTGGTCTATGGACCCAAAAAGGTTGGGCATTTGAATAGTTTTTTAATCGCATTTCAATCGTTTTTTTAAAACCGTATTTCAATCGTTTTTAACCGTATTTCAAGTTTTTTTAAACCGTATTTCAATCGTTTTTTTAACCGTATTTGAATCGTTTTTTTAAAACCGTATTTGAATAATTTTTTTAACCGTATTTCAATCGTTTTTTAAACCGTATTTCGGTTGTTTTTTAACCGTATTTCGGTTGTTTTTTAACCGTATTTCAATCGTTTTTTTTTACCGTATTTCGATCGTTTTTTAACCGTAATTCAATTGTTTCTAACATTTTTTTTTTTAAACCAGACGAGGACGATTGCGAAGGAAACCCGTGCCGGAACGGCGGGACTTGCGAGGACCTGGTCGGGGACTTCCGGTGCTGGTGCCCGTCGGGCTGGAAGGGCAAGCGGTGTCAGACCAGGTCGTCCCTGTCGCACTGCTCCGTCAAGCCCGACGACAAGTGGTGTCAGAACGGCGGCACGTGTCGGGACCGCCGCGAGACGTTCGAGTGCGAGTGCGCCGACGGCTGGACCGGCGCCTATTGTCACCTGCCGGCGGTGTTGCCCTGCGCCGCCGACCCGTGTCGCAACGCCGGGACCTGCATCAACTCGGGGTCCGGGTACTCGTGCATTTGCCCCGACGGGTTCAAGGGAACCCACTGCGAACACAGTGAGTTTTTTTCTTCTTTTTTTTTCTTTTTTTCTCAGCTATACAGTAAAATATATTGGGTACTTTCCTGTTATCAATTCCTGTAGCTCAATTTCTTCAAGAAATGCAAAGATGCAGAATTTTTGCTTCTTCAGAAATTTTTTTTTCTGCTGATGAGGTAGGCTACTGTACAGCAATTAATGATTTTTCTCTGTATAACGATTTTTTTTGTCTCGAAGGGGTTCTCTAAGTCTATACAGTCTATAATATACAGTATACCCATCTACTAGGCGTTTTCTACCCATCTTGATGGGGTTCTCTACAACGAAATTTTCCTGGTCCCCCGAATTTCGTCGTGGAGAAAATGCATCTGTATATTATGATTATTTACTTATATTATTTCTACTTTTCTATATAAATGTACATATAAATATAAATTTCAAGGGAACTGAAAAAAAATTCGACTTAGAGAGGTTTCGACTTGGGGAGGTTTCAACTTTTATATACGTTGGAAGTACTGTACAATAAAAGGCCCCATTTTCTGGGAAATTCGAAAAATTGTAAATGGTAATATTCTGGGGCTCAAATGACCTCTTAAATGAGTTGAAAGGCTCCTGAATTTGAAGGCATGGGTTCATTTGCCCAATTAAGTCTTTCACTTCCTTTTTAAAACACATGAATTTATGGGTTTTTTGGTTTTTTTTATTTCTTTCTTTTTTCAAGAAAATAATGGTCAAAAGGCCACAGAAAATTCGACTTCTGGAGGTTTGAGGGGAAAAGCTTTCGATGACTTAGGGAGGTTTTTACTCTATTGGTTCTAAGGGGATTCAAATGGGACCTGAAAAAAAAATTCGACTTAGGGAGGTTCGAGTTATCGAGGTTCACCTAATTCTTGAATTTTTTCCAAATGCTCATGTGATCTGCATTTTTTTTTTTTACCATCGCAAATCACGTGGTTGAAAGAGGTCACCGATATTATATGTAAAACAGAGTTTCTTGGATCGATCATGGAAATACCACAGGTTTTTTTTTTTCCTTCTCAATATTTTCAACGATTTCACCATCCCATTATACTGCATTCATTTCTTCTCAAATTCTTTTTTTTTTCCTGAATGACTGATTTGCTGACCAGCATCATTTTCATGGCTTTTTTGTTCATCCGAACAGATATAAACGACTGCAATCCGTACCCTTGTTACAACGGCGGGACTTGTGTGGACGGGAACAACTGGTTCCATTGCGAATGCCCCAAGGGATTCAAAGGACCCGATTGTCGCATTAATGTCAATGAATGTGCTTCGAACCCGTGTGCTGAAGGCGCCACTTGTTTGGAAGGCATTGGAACCTTCGACTGCATTTGCCCTCCGGGGAAATCAGGGAGACGATGCGAACACGGTACTTATTTATTTATTTATTTATTTATGAGTTTATTAATTCTTAAATGAATAAACTTCATTAATTTAATTTGTACTATTTTTTATTATTATTTCTTGAATATTTACCTAATTTTAACCTGAGGAAAAATAAATCCGCTTACAAGAAGGGCAACCCAGCTTTCTGTGATTTAAAAAAAATATATATGTATTTTTTGGGATATGAACCCTGAAATTTGAAAATAAGAATTACACCCTTTGAATTGAATGTTCCTATTACTGTTAAATATCATTATTAAATATTATATCACAGTACAATATATTTATGGTACAGTACTTGTATTTATACAAATTCAATTCTTGAATACTTTGATCAACATTTTGAAAAAGTGATTAAATCTGTTTGTAAGAAGCACAATGCGGTTTTCTGTGACTCAAAAACTAGTTTTATTTTGCGAAATAAACGCTAAGATTTGAAATTGAGACTTCCGCGTTTTGAATTAAATTTTGCTGCATTTGCTTTTGCTTCGCACTTTTATTTGTCAAGTTTCATTTGATCATAGATATGGAATTTTACTCAATCTTGTCTCTAAGAAGAATATTTCTTAAAATTCCGATGGATGTGTTAAATTTACAACGCGCACCAAAAAAAAATTTAATTAGCTGCAAGTGCAAAATTGGCAGCAAAAATGTACAGTATTTACCCAAAAAAAATGTATCGGCTAAAAAGTATGCGTAATGCCTATCCTACTTGAATTTAATCTGTAAAAATACTGTAAATGGATTCAGGTGGAATATTTAAGACAGTGTTTGAAAAAATTATTGATTTGTGCACCCAACTGTTAGACGATTAATTATTTGCTCTGAAAAATAATACTGTACAGGTATAGATTCTCTACACCGATATTCAAGGGATTATAAAACTTCCTTGTAGAGAGAATTTCGTGGTAGAGACCCTTTAGAACATGTGGACAGAACTCTAATATGATACCAAATAAATACTCTTCGTACAGAAAAAATCGTTGTAGAAAGAGTCCACCTGTGGTAAAATATGGTAAAATATATAATAAAAAAAACAGGTGGACTCTTGATTATTATTTGCTCGGATTCGGGGTTCATGTGCTTTTTTTTTTTTTATAAATTAAAATTTCAGACGAAACGGGGGTCATGAGGTCAGGCCTGGCGGGGATGTGCGAATGGAACAAGCGGTTCTACCCTGCCAATTTCCTCTGGAACCTCCGCTGCAATTCCTGCGTGTGTGCCAAAACCCCGGGTTCCACCTGGGTCGCGGGCTGCTCGGAAATATTCTGCGGGCAAGTGTCGGACACCACCGGCAAGGACCCCGCGGGGTCGACCCAAGACTGCCGGGACTCGGGCAAGGGCTGTCGTCTCGGGGAAGTCTGCGCAGCCGTGCCCAGGTTGCATTGCCTGTCGGGGGACTGTCCGCCGCGGGGCAAGTGCGTCGACAGTGACACCGGGCTGGACGCAGGGTTGCCAGACACGTTTGCCGAGTGTTTGCCGACCGCGAATAACCCGCCGAACGGGTGCTCTTTGCTCAATATCGTGTTTGACAAGAGGAAGTTGTTGGCGGTGGATGAAGATGAGAGGTTGAGGTCGTCGGGATCTTCATTATCATCATCATCGTCATCAGGCAGCAGCAATACTAAGATTTCCGTGGATGATGTTTGTGCCAGTTTGAGGATGATTGCGGGGGCCAAGTATGTGTTTGGCAGACTGGGCACGCATTCTTTGGGAGGCAATCAGAGCATTGCTGAGTGGAAGACCCCGATGAGGAACCCGCCTTTGGTGTTTATCCTGTGTGACCTGAAACCCGGGACCAAGTACACTGTCACTGCTGCAATTGTAAGTCACCATACAGGCAGTTTTTTTTTTTTTTTTTTTCGTTGGAAAAAAAAAAAAAAAAAAATTTTAAGTGCATGTCATACTCGACTATACACTGTGCATATTTTCAGCAAATTTTGCAACATTTTGGTGCGCGTAATGCTTTAAAACAGTGTTCCCCAAGTTTTTTTGGCCCACGGACCAACTAATTTCTAAAAAATTGTCCATCACAGACCAACAAAATTTTATAAAATTTTTGCAGACTCAAAAATAAAACCTCATAATGGCAGATATTTGAAAAGTTTCTGCTTTTTTTGAAGAAAAAAGTTAAGAATCAATGAAGCAGCTGTAGTAGAATGTCTTCAAAAAATTAGAAAGGTGGGCTTGAAGAAAGGTTTCCTAGAATGAAAAATTAAAATAATTTATTTCAACATGTTGAAATTTGTCTGAAGTGTTATTGGGAGAAAAGTGACCTTTTATTTTTCATCAGATAATAGCAACTTCAGCTGTCTTTCCAAAATTGTAGACTAAAAAAATAATAATAATAAAACAGGGTTTTTTTTCTGCCCAAAATTGCTGTTGTGCTTGGCAGTTGCTTGAGGATCAAATATGCCAAATTATGCCACCTATCATACCTGAAGTTCATTTACAAAAATTAATGAAGAATTCAGGTGGAATCTTTGAAATAGTTCATGACAAAATTATTGATTTGAGTCATCCAAAGCATTCAAGTGAAATTTCCCTATTTAAAAAGTGAATGATGAGTATATGATCTATTGTTTTGTGCAGTCAACTTTTGGCAAGGACAAGCACAAGGATGGACCAAGTTTGGGAAGACAGCTTGCTGATGCTTTGCAGAGATGGTTGGATGACAAGACAGTGGGCCATTCATTAGATGGGATCCAGAAGCCTAATTATGTCTTTGGAATTTCGCAAATTTACCTGGAAATTGGAACTGCTGGAGTGAATATTGAATCTGAAGAACATCGACTTCTTCAGAAAGATGATGGTTAGTATATCATCCTAAGTGTGACTAATGTGTAGAATACTATTTGAAGCTTTCTTTTTTTTTCTGACTGCTGATGGTGACATATTTTTTAAATTAATAAAATTAATTTCTTGTTACAGGGAAATTCTACTTGATCATACTCCTGTCTGCCATCTTGGTGACCATTGGAATAATTGGAACGTCGGTCCTGCTTCTTTGGCATCGGTATCACAGAGCCAAGTTGAATACCCTGAGTGCAGGAGCGAGTTCTTCCAATATTGGGCGAGTGAATCAACTGAATCACATCAGTCCTCAACATGAGATACAAATTGCCCCAGCTCCTGTTCAACCTCAACCCATTTCTGCTCGGGATAAGGTGCAAAATGAGGAAAACCATCGCATTTTACTTCAAAGGTCAGTTCTCATTTTTTCCTTCAATACAGGTGAAACATCCTGGACAACATTTCACCTGCTGAAATGAATTGAAATGAATATTTTTTTAAATTTTTTTTATTCTGAGAAAAAATGTCTTCAAGCCCACCATTTTAATGTTTTGAAGATATGCTTTGAAGTTTTTTCTCTTGCATAACAAACAAATCTATGTAACAGACTTCAGTCTGTATAGAAGTAAATGCCACCAGTGGAAATGAGTCCTTCGCTTCCTGCAATTTCCTCAAATTGCAGCTTTGACTTAATTGAACAATTTCCTGATGCTCACTGATGACGTATCAGTTGGAAAATCTTCACATTCACCATCATTACCAATTATAAATCAAGGCTTATCAACATGAGAAGAAGTTTTCCAATCATGAAAATAATTTTTCAGAATATCCCTAAATTCTTTGAAACCCATTTGGTACAGAGATTAGACTTCCTGTACTACAATCAATCAGAAAACACATTATTTTCTCAGCACTTTTAATTATCTGTCCTTCTCTGATTTTAATCTGGGTGAGCAGCAAGTGGGCCAATTGCCAAGAGGTGAAGTTGTCTGTAAAAAGGACCTCCATCATAAATAAATGTAAAATGCTTAAAAAAAACTAAGCTGACAAAGGAGATGAAGTCATAATGCTATAGTCACATCAAGTAAGGTAAAATATTAAAATAGGTTACCTCCTTATTTTGGATTATTTTGAGCAAATGTGTTGAATTTGTTGTGGAAAGACTTACATTTGACCGTATTCCATATATATATGTATAGGTACAACAACAACCTGAACTCAGCGCCATGGCAAGAGGCGACATCTGGAGTTAGAAGTAAATCCCGACCGAGGTTCCATCATGAAGCAGCTATGATGAGAAGAAGCATGTATGCAGCGACTTGCTTGCTGGCCGCGACAAGAGAAGAAAGGGAAGATGCCGTTGACATCCCTGGTCCAAGTCATTTGAACAATCATCTCAAATCCAAAGCGAGCTTTTCAACCGAAATGCTGGACACCTTGGGCTGCGAGCGGGTGGGTTTCGGTCGCCAGGTGGCGCCCCCTCCGCCGTTGTTACTCGAGAAACTCGCCGCTGGTTGCGGTGAGCTTGTGAAGGAGCCCAGTTGGTCTGTAGGCTTCCATGATGAGACTGGGAACAGCAAGAGGCGACCGTCAGCCATTTTGGTCTCTGAGGAGGATGAGGAAGAGGAGGATGGTGGTGTCATGGCGTCACCGGAAGTCATAGTTTGATTTTTGTTTTCGGATGTGATCAGCATTGATTTGTTGAACTCGGTTTTTTTTTTGCTGCGGAGTTTCGTGTGCCATGTTCTTTTTCTCTTACATATATGCTGCATCATGAAGGTCCGGAGGCTGTTGAGCGATTTTGCTTTCCTTGTTTTTGAAGGAAAAAAGTTGATTTAGCTGTGATAAGGTTGCTTCTTTTTGCCTTTGACTATATTCGACCTCTGTTGTATGGTGTTTGAAGCATTTTCGACTTTTTTGGATTTTTGGTGTGGTTAAATGCTCAGCTGTGCCTTCCATGTGCGTCCATGTATGTGTCAGTATTCATCTTTGACTATACTGTATGGGATCTATATTGGGTGACATTTTCCTTTTGATGGAGTTGATGTGACATTGAATCAGGAGCTACTTTGGGTGAAATAAATTTTTTGAGAGAAATCTGGCAATGCTTTTTTATTTAATGAGAGAAGCTGATGGAAACAAGGGAAAATTAATACTTTTCTGCCATTCTGACCAAAATGAGCGCACTTGACAAAAACAGATGATGATTTAACTTTGCTCCTGCTTCATTAAATTTCATGGGCTTTAGCTATTGAACTGTGAACTCTCTGTTTCACTGGAAGAGACGAGTAGCAATATTTCAACATGTCCGCTGCTTTTGAAGCGTGGAATGCGTGCAATGGAAAACATTTGAGGTGTGTTTGACATAGCCGAATTCCTTCTTTGCGATTACAGCGATTTCCTGTCAACTTTTTGGCTGTCCATTCAATTACTTTTGTAATTTAAAAAATTGAAATGAATAATGATTCAAAACTTAGAATTAAAGCGCTTGTTTCCTGGAATAAAAATCATAGGAATCATATTGGGAATCAAAAATGAACCCCGTGCAACAGAGAGGCAACTCCAGCAAAAAACATGGACAGCATCTAACTCTGCTAGATTAGTCTATCCTTATCCTGCCTTTAAGACCTTCAGACAGAAAATGAAAAAAAACGGTAGTCTCTTAAAATCTCAAGGTAATAAGAAATATATCAAGCTTTGAAGGATTTTTTGAAGAGAAAAGAAAAAAATAATTGGAAATTATAAGTGATTTTGGAAAAATGAAAAATGGACTTGCGTTTGTTATTTTTGGTAAAAAAAAATCATTGAAACATTTTGAAAATTACAGAGAATGTATAGGAAATACTGTTCTAAAATAAATAAAAAATTTAAATTTTTTTGTCTAGCAGGAAAAATTTTCAACAGCTTGTGACATGGATGGAAAATGCTTGCCAAAACTGGAAAGTTTTCTCTTATTGTCTTGCGGTAAATCTAAAAACTTTTGAAAAAATCTGGTAAAAAAATCGCGGAACCTTAAATTTGGATGAGCTAATTGGTAGTTTTTTTTCAATGTGGTACCTAGTCTAAAAATTGCAGAGGTCAATCATAAATGGGACAACCCTTGTATATACGGGCAGTGTTGCCATAGATGCCTCAAACGTAACCTGCCAAAAGATTTCTGCCACCAACTATTTTGCCATGGTAGTGGCCATTTAAAATAATTTTGACTTTGTAATATTCATCAAATCGAGGAGGGAAACCGAGGTTCATTTCTCGTCTATAATTTCCTCCAAGAAAATGACCAGTTATCGTGGTTTTACGATCATCTATTAGAGTTACTATAGAAATCATCTCTGAAACTTCAAAGCTTTGCCTAGATGTCGTTTGAAACTGCTCTCCCCTCACAACATTGTCAGCGGAAAGTACTAGGTTCGAATACGTGCAATCAAGAAATATGGCCACGCGCTAGAGCATGCAATGAACTAGGAAGATAGTACAGTATTGATGGAAGAGGCATGACCGAATTGACCGTGAAATTCTGATATGTGATTTCGCTTCCGGTGCGCTGTCTGCCCGAGTGTTTTGTATATCTCCAGTGTTTCAATGTGTGGATATCTGGAACGTTGTTTGGGGGATGTGTCATCAGAGAACGTGGAAGGTCGTGCTGACGTTCGAGGAAAGTATTCTTCGTAGTGTTCTCGAGTACGGTAAATGTCTGTTACACGTTTTGGCGTTCTTTCATCTCAGAATTTTACGGTTTACAAAAATAGAGGATTCACTTTATACCGAAGGCCTGTCGTTCTTGTTTCGGAGATGTTTTTGTAATCGAGACTATGAATATCTGGCTGTCTGTTTACTAACGAAAGGGCGAGTTCATTTCATGAAATATTGCCACATTTCGAAATTGTAATTCTACTGTCGTGTTTCGTGCAGAATCGGAATTCGATTCTGATGAATATTAGTCTGAAGAAACATCAGATTTCCAGTGGATCAATTGATTTTCTCCGCAGTACCATTATGTACAGTTCAATTCCATACACTGTACTTGATTACAAATTGTCCTAGTATAAGGATGCCTCAAATTATGGTGCTACCTAAGTAGGCTTCAGTCGGTGCATCCGAAGTTCGCAACAATTTTTCGTAGTGGTTTTTCTACAAGACTACGTTTTATTGGAGCACTTGAGTTCCACTCCTTCGAAGTTCAACCTCAGAAGCCGTTTGGTGAGCTGATCTAGAAATCAATTCGTTCTGTGAACAGTGATATGTTAACTACATAGGATATACCCTAGTCCCCTGAATAAACTTCTGTACAGTGTATTAAGGGAAGAATCAATAACGTTCAAAGTTTTTCACTCTCGAACGCATGATGCTGCATTTTTCTCATTTGCGTGCTAAATTTGATCGAATTCGTAATATGAGTCCGCCGTGTTTCTCCTGAAGTATTTTTTTTATTATTGGTAGGAGTGAATACAGTAATAATGTTGGGAATATACCAAATTGAATTATGAATTGACATTATGTAAAACCTTGTGATCAGCTTGGTAAATATTAGCACGCGAAAACCTGTTTGATCGACCCGGGCGCGCGTGGAAATCGTATCAACGAAGGGAGTGAAGAAAGAGCTTGGGAGTTTAATCCCCGAGACCCGATGAAGAATGGCCGTTAATAAATCAGGTCTTTAAAAGTGTTACTGGGGTTCGAGAAGAAATATTTTTTCCCCCATTTTTCGAAGGAAACCCTCGCGGACGGAAGTAATACTGTACGTGGTTCCTATGGGAAAGGCAACGAATTATTCCGGATACCTCGCGATGATTGCCGAGAAACGTTAGTTCCAGTTGTAATAAAGGTAATCTCAGAATTTTTCTGAAAATTTTCAAGGTTATAACCGTCGAAGTGGTTGGTGTGTGTGAACCATATGTGCCAGTCCTTGTTGGATGTGATACAAACTGGTCAACTCCGTGTTCCCGTTGTTAGTTCGTGTACTCCGTCAGAAAAGTGCGTATGACGCGTGGTTTTTGGAAGGAATGCCGTTTACAGCCTTTTCAGAACCCTTGAAAGCCGGTGTTTGTTTCACTTTCTAGGTAGAACAATGTCTTTTTAGTACCCAAGTAAAGCGATGTGTCGAGCGCAGCTTTGACTGTGAATATCTACTGTGCTTGTAAGAGAGGAACATCAGTGTGTGCCTATGGTCGAAGGAAAGTAGCGTCGCGGAGAATGATGAAGGACGGTAGTGTGATTGAAATATGCCAAGAAGAATAAATGGGGAAATACCGTTGCCTGATGGTTGGGAGATGGGTAGAGACTACGACGGGAAAGTGTATTACATCGATCATAATACGAAAAAGACGACATGGCTGGACCCCCGGGACAGGTAATCCTAGACACAGTCATTCTAAAATATATTAAGAAGAGAATTCACCATATTATTCTTTTACCAGACTCACGAAGCCGGCCTCATTTTCCGATTGCATCGGAAATGAGCTCCCTTTAGGCTGGGAAGAATCGTATCATCCTTGTGTTGGGATTTATTACGTGAATCATGTCAAACGTAAGCTGCTGAATTTAATTTCCGACGTGCATGTAATTCATGTCAGAAATTTCAGAAACGACTCAATTGGAAGATCCGCGGCAAGAATGGCGGAAAGTTCAGGAGGCTATGCTCCGAGATTACTTGATAACAGCTCAAGAAGACCTTGCGGTGCGCTGTTGAATTTGTAACTCTGTGAAAGGTTTCTTGAAATGATCAATCTAATTTTCTAGGCGAAGCAAGAACTCTTCCAAGTGAAACAACACAGACTGACCCTTGCTCAGGATGAATATCGACACCTAAACTCAGCCCTCAATCAACTCTCAGCATCACACACTAGTCGTAAGTGCTTTGGTCATTCGAAATCGTTCCGTGGTTTTGACGAATTTGGTTTTCACAGTTTGTTCCAGTGGAAGTAGTAGCAGTACAAGATACAATCCGGACCTCTTGCGTTCCGACGTTGCACTAGCTAAAACACGGGTTTCTAGGTTAAAACAAGAACTTGAAGAAATTCAAAATGATGTTCAGTATACGAAGCATGGCGTTGAAATGCTCTCGAGTGTCGAGCGTGACTTTTGCTCCTCTGCTCCCGACGGCACCAGCAGCAAGTCATATACTGTTCTTGAAGCCGAGGCGATTCTAGATGAGCTCAAGCAAGTTCAAAGATCGCTGTGTGAAGGCGAGAAGGAAAAGGCAGAATTGATGCAGTCGTTGGCGAGGATCAAAGATGATCTGAATAGGTTATCTGCGGGGCAAAACTCTGTTGGTATTTCAGGAAACCATGGTTCGCAGTGTGATTATTCTTCACCTGATGCTTCGTCTCTAAGCTTTCTCAACGGTGAGTTCGTGGATCAATTCGTGCTTCTAGCGGTAGCCTTTGTCTTATTCATTGCTCAGATTAGTGATTTCTTGCAAAACTTTTACTAAAGCATTGCATTTTTAGAGGCCATTTGCCCGAATTCCTATTTCCGGTGTCATTTCGCGCTACCGTCGAAGTCAATTGAAGGAAAATATAAATTTATTCTCTATACAGTTATAAAATTAAATGTATCCTTGAATATTTTAATTCTTAATTTCCTTTTAGTACAGTATTATTCTTTTAAGGAGAACATGCTTTTTGCTCAAGTCTGGAAAATCACAGGCTTTTGCTTCAGTAAGGAAAATTGGGAGTTTGTTGATGAGGTAAACGCAATGAATGCTTTCTAAATTCATGAATGCAGGAAAAAAATACTGGATTCCTAAGGAAAACCCCGGCAAAAATTTATACACTGTTAATTCCTTCAGTCTTTCTGTGGGTCTCGCAACGTAGGGGTTAGTTTTTGGGGAACTTTTTAGTGGTGTGTTTTAGAATCCGAAATTCTTCCTTCAATTTACTTACTTCTTCTTTATCTTCCACCAAGGAGATTCCTTCCGTGTTCCCTGGCGTATCTTGTGTCTCTTTGCTTTTAATTGTGTCTTCACTGCTCTTTGTGACCAGTGAGTTAAGGTGAAGATCCTAAGATATAGGCACAAAAAATGAATGCTTGACGGGAATTCATGAAAGCGCTGTAAATGCGCATTAGGCGAAAAGTCTGATTTCAAAATTGATAATTTTCCATGTTATTGTGCATAACTTGTTGCTGCAGTTCTGGAAATTCAAGATACCGATATGAACCAACGTCATTTACATTTCACATACCTTCGTTATGCGCAATGCATTAAAAAAAACCCCCATTGCGGAGGATCCTCAGCCCACAGAATCATCGCAGATTTCTCGCGCAACGGACTCGTGCTTCGGATATTTTGTAATTTTTTTGAAAATAATTTTTCATTTTCTTGGAGCAGCTGTTGGAGGTAATGAAAAGTTTACCACGGCATCTCAAACTGATCTGTCTGGAGAACTTCCGCCTGTCGGAGCTCGACTTGCAGAATTGGCTCGCATGAGGCTAAGATACGACGAATCGCGACGAGAAATCCAAATGCTTCAACAGAGTCTTGCCGATTTGGATGCGAAAATGACTCCCGGTCAAGCAGAATCCGACAAAGACAGGTACTGTATATTGTAAAATGATCTCGGCTTGTAGAAGCGTTTTGTTCACGTAAATTTTTTTTCCTCCGACAGATTGATTCTAATTCAGCAAAAAGAGCAGCTTTTGCGGGAGTTGAAGAGCATAGAGCGGGGTAAAGGAATGGACCATTGTGATCTGCGTGCCTCAGGGAGACCGGAAACTGACATGGAGCGGATACGGAAACAAATCGTGTGTCTGCAGAGAGACCTGAATTGTGCGATGGAAATGTCTTCCAAAGCGATTGCTGACAGGTTTGGTTTTATTTTTTTCTTTAGATTTTTCCTTCGAATGAAACCAGAGTGCTTTCGAATTTTTTGTTCTGTTTTAATTGAATTTTTTCTTCAGGTTGAAACTCCATGAAGTGAGGCAAGGTCTTCTGCATCAGCTTGGTGCAGCCTTGCGGAGAACAGCGGCCTTGGAAACAAGACTACGAGCTGCTTCTTCTGCATCCACATCCACCCTTTCGGTTTCGTCCTCCTCATCTCTGGGCTCTCTTTCCACGTCATCGTCATTATCATTTACAGATATTTATGGATTACCACAGGTGAATACATTTTTGAGAATCCCTTTTTTTCGCGTAAAAAATGAAACTTCATATAACTCACGTACTGTATAACATACCCCAAAATCAACCGTATACTTGATGATGTAATGTAACCTCTGTGCGTTGACAAATTTCTTGTTCATAACTGGATTAGGCACACGATTTTTCGGCGGTTTTGATAAAATTTTTCTCGTACATCAAAAGTTCATCTTTTCAATGATTTGGAATATCATGAAAATGTATTGATCCTGTTCGTGTAATTCAATATCTCGTATTTACTAGAATATTCCACGCACCTTTTTTCAGCAAAATCAAGTAAGGAAAGCTAGGTCCGCGTGGTATGCCGGTAGAAATTTTCTGGAGCAAACAATTATGAAATTATTAGTGGGAGCCATAAGTGATTACTTTGTAGGTGCAAGTAATGAACAGATAATTTTGTTTGGCTCATATTCAGTTAAAATGATGCATCTTCCAATATTTATTCATGGGATTATTTTGTTCAACGTTTTAATTTAAAATAAAAATTCAATTTATTACCGTATAAAACTGGGATGTGTGTCTTACGCGGGGATACATTTTTGGGCAAGTTTCATGCGAAAAAGCTGAGGTTCAACGATTTTCTAATGATTGAAGTAATGCAGGTAATAAGAATTTCCGGAACCACTGAAATTTAAGTTGGCATGGATAAAAACAATTTTCTTTTGGAACCTTTGAAGACGTTTCAGTGTCTGCGAAATAAATAAAAAAAAAGAAGCCGGGAAAATTTAATGTGCAAGACTATCGCGAGCGAACATTAACAACAGTTTCGTACTCTTAAAATGTAATGCTAGGATCCAAATTTGCCCCGCAGTCTGTAATCGGAATCTTGCTTTGCAAAGCATCTTTCAACTGGGGCTTTTTTTCGTTTCCATTTCAGTGCCATCCGGATAGCAGTCCGAACATCGTCGAGCTCCATCATCGAGTGGAGCAGCTGATGAGTGCCAATGTCTCGAAAACCTCCATGGTCCAGTCGATGGAACCAGCCCCCATCGTGAACGTGGAAGAGGCAGTTCTGCGAATGACCAAATCCACTTCCGGTCTCTGTCACCGATTGAATCTCGCGCCGAGTGCGGAAGAGCCCTCGGCGTCTCCTTCTTCGGCAGCTGTTTCTTCTGGCTGCAGCAGTGGCACCAGTGGTAACGGAGCCAGTGGCGGCAGTGGGAATAATAATAATAATCAGCAGCCGCCGTTGAGCCCGTCCGGGTTGAGCGGGTGTCCCCAGTCCGTGTCGGCGGCTGTTAGTAACGAAAGCGTCGCCGGCGACTCGGGTGTGTACGAGGCGGCGAGTCACTCGTTGTCTCAGAGCGGTTGTGCGAGAAGCGGGAACCAAGACCCGCCGTGTATCCCACACATGGGCTTGGATACTCCGCAGATATCTGTCAAGCTTAGGTGAGTTGTTTCCCTTTTTTTCATTCGCAAACAAGACGTGAAATACAGTGGTAATTTTGTTAATTGGTTCGGAAATTTCCGATGGGGGAAATCATGAACAAAATTGGATTTTTTTGGAGCTGTCTTGATTGGCTGATTGGTTTCACAGCCTTGGAAAAGTCTCGTAATTTAGGGATGTGAAGCTCATTGTTGATCCGTTCCAGATGCAATACCTCGAACATTGACTGGATACATCTTCAGAGAAATAAGTGTTCAAGATGAACACATTAACAATCATTAGCTAATCGTTGAGAATAATATTTAGTCAAAAGAAAAGAAACCCTACCACAAATAGAGAAAATAACCTTCGAAAATTGATGTACGCGGTCACATTTTTGTCAGCAACTTTGATCTTTTTAATTATGATTACAGTACTTCTTCATGCAATGTGTTATCCGAGGCAAAAATGCTGTGGATGATATGGTAGAATCTCATTTTAACAAAGCGTTTGGGGCCTTAAAAATGGCTTTTATTCTGATCAAAATTTGTTAAAATGAAATTAAAACGAATATTGGCTATTGGACAACGGCCGAAGAAATAAATTTGTGGTAAGCCGTAATTCGCCATAACGAACTTCTTTTGCCCAGTACAGTAGTTAGGTGAAATTCAATTCGATGAATTGACGAGAACGAAACGGTTCCAATTCCATAATTATTAGCTGCACTCTTCATCAATTTGATACTTCGTTCTATGATTTCTGAATTTGAAAAGTACTCTTGTCTTCTTAAGAGGGAATTACTTCTTTTTGATCGGATTCCTGAATTCAAATGAGAAAGGTTCCTTCCTTTTCGATATTGTGAGGTCGTACTTCCAAGAGATTCTATTTTTTTGTCGAATGAGGTGTAGGGCTGGTTTTTTTTCTCCCGATTTTCATTTCAAATGTTAATGAAATACAAAGCGTTTCTTCTCAAGTTATCGGCTTTTATTCATGTTTCAGGGGAGTAATTTCCTTTTTTCTTATCCCCTAGGTATGCTGTTGCTGATGAAACATTGTTTGTGGGTGTGGAAAAAGCGAGAAATGTTGCTGCTCTCTCAGTTCCTACGACGCATGAAATGTAAGTTCTTTTTTTTTTTTAACTTGAAATACTTTTTTTCTGCGCATTTCGTTCTACTCCCTTTTTTTTTTTAATCATTGCTTACAGTCACAAAGTTCAATTCTGTTTAGATTGATCTTTTTTTTGAGAATGTTAAGTTTATTTTGTGTATTTTTTTCAGTTGCATCAAAGGAACTCTTTTGCCGGCTTCGACGGATGGTGACGGAAGTCAGTCAACCATGTCGACCTCGGTTGTGGGTTGGCGAGGAGGGAAGTCGCCGTCTTTTGGAGACGTGCTCCCTTTCCGCGTTTCTCTCAGCTCTCTGTATTCCAAGACGCTTCAACTGAATGTGTGGGCGTTGGGCATGTCTGGATCTGAAGAATGTATGGGCTGTACTCAAATCAGTCTCGCTGACTTCTCGTTGGACTCGCCTCCCGTCGCCAAATGGTTTGTGCTTGAATCAAACTTGTCAACGTCTTATTGGGTCAAGTTCCCGTCAGTCACGAAACTGCTTCGATGGATTTACAGTGCATTACAGATTTTTTGATTAAAAGTACACATTTTGATTAGTCATCAAGAAGAACCGAAGTGTGCAAGAAGGGTTTAGTAACCTTTCTCCATGTCTAATTGACTTGATCATTTTGAGCGGGAAGTCCAAACATTCCAAGCGCGGGGTCATTTTGAGCTCGGGAATTGATTCCAGAACCCGGATCTTTTTCGAATCAGAATTGTCGACCCACATGAGATTTATCTGTGGAATCTCCATGTCTAAATGTTAAACAGATTTATTTTCAAACTGCATTAATGGAAAAATGTTTATATGAATACTGTGCAACGCAAAAATGAGGGTAGATTTCGCACTAGAAATCTCTATTATCTGGTAGACAACAACGACAAACTCTTCAATCGATTACGCTAGAATCAAAGCGAACAAAATCCTCTCTAATATTCTGATTATAAGACCCAGAAGTATTATCATGATCTTTGTGTAAATTATTTGAGATCAAATTTCTAACCAAGTGGAAGTAAAATCATAAGTGCAAAACCCGAAGTTCTCGAAAAATCTATTTTGATGAATGTACATATTAAACTCGCAAGCTATGCATTCATCATTGAAGATTTTAAGACAATTAGGAGTGAAGAAAACTTCAAATGCGTTTCATAATCCATGACGTATTTTGCGTGAATGCAGTGTTCCTGAAGGCTATGGTTTTTGTTGTTGAAGTGTTGAATTTCCCGCTTGATTGAAGGTTTTTTGAAATCGCGTCCCCCATGTGTTGACGTAGCTTTCGAATGTAAAAAGCACAAGCGCATCGCGTGCATCCATTTTACAGCGTATCGAGCGAATGTTGAATGATTCCTCTGGTTGGATTTCTAGGTACAACGTATTGAGTTTCAAATTTATGCAACCGGATCCTGCGCCTTTAACTTCAGAAAATCCGGCAGCAAAAACAGCATCGAGCGAAGAAGCTACTCAGAAGAAAATTAGGCGCGTAGCTGCAAAAGTAGCGAGTGTGTCATCTGCCGCTACGCAGTCTAAACAAGACGTCGATGAAGAAGATCAACGTCTTCAAGATTCGGCGAAGCTCAAGGAAGAAAGCAGTGATGAATCGACAGTCATTTCTTCGCAAACTTCAACGCTGACCAGAAATGTTGGACCTGAAGCTATGATTGCTGCTGCGATAAGTGTGGATGATTTTGAAGGATCTGATGATGACGACGAAGACGAGGATGATTATGAGGTGAAATATCGTGTTACCTTGGGGTCCCAAGATGCGGAATTAATTACTCATTTGAAAGTTTCCACATGTTGCAACGCGTGTGTTTTGGATCACATTTTCCCCATTGACTTCAATGGAAATACAGTATTTTAAATCGCTTTGCAAAAAAATTGAAAAATACCCTAGGGAAATTCCAAAAAGAAATCTTTTCTTATCCGTACAATCCATTAAGTAACCGAGTAGAAGAAAACCACACAGAATCTACCCTTTTGGCTTGAGAAAAAGTCGAAATTTTAAAAATAATCGCATTCATTGCTGTACTGTGCGCAGCTGATTGAAAAAACCCCAAAAAGAGGCACAAAATTACCGAATTTACTTGAGTACCACATTTTCTTGAGTTACGTGCTCACTGATTTTTAAACCTAAAATTTTGATAAAATCTCATCTGCAAAACAGCCTGCACCTTATTTTCAGTGACCGATAACTGCAATGCAATATTTCGAGAAAACGAGGCGCCAAAATGTGAATTTTGACGTGAAGTCAACCTGAGTTCAATCAATTTAAAATTTTTCAAATCAAAAACTTTTGCCAGAATTGGTCTAAAATGTCCCGGGAGAATCAAGTATGACAAGAACCAAATATTCTAAAAGAATTTGAAAATTGTATCCCTGCCCATGACAATCGCCCTCCTTTTTCACCTCAGTTTGGAAATAAAAAGGTATGTGGGGTATTTCAGTTTATACAGTAGCCTGTTTTGCATTCTTAAGTACACATTTCAGAGGTTGACCAGAAAATCTGATGATTATTTATTTTAAGATACTGCATGTAAAATGACATGTAATTGGTTCCAGACCACAAAGAAATCGCTTGTTTGAAAAGCTGATTCATTCCGGATCATGAGGATGTTTCCTTCATGAACTTTTAATCGAATTCTTGAAGAAAATTGTTTCAATTACAGAATGACAGTGGACACACTCCGAAGCGAAAATAAAAATTATAGATGCATTTAAGAATTTTTTGAAAGCTTGTAAAAAAAAATTTGCAGGTTCCGACAGCAACTTCCATTTTTTGAAAGACCATACTAAACAAATGTTTGGCCTTCGCTGGCAATACCAAACATGAGTTTATTGCTTCGTCCGTGATGAGTGAACGCCACTTGAATTATTTCCGTGTTCCGCAGGAGGAAGATTCGAGTGACGAAGAAGGCAGAGAGTATCCGGTTGAAGCGTCTGCCGATGTGCTGGTGGCGGAAGTTTTGAGGGGCGTCGAATACGCGGACAGGGAAACGAACACGGAGTGCACGTTTCTTCCGTGCAGGCGGCCGCCGTCTTCGGCTGAAGCTATGGTGGCGTCCGCGCATCGTGCCGCCATCGTGCGACGGTCCAAGACTTTCTCTCCGTCGGCGCCGCTGTCGAAGCAGGAGTACATTTGCCGATTGAACAGGAGTGACAGTGACAGCTCCATGCCGTTGTATCGTGATCCGAGTGTCGGTGCTTCTGGGACGAGTGCCAGGGGTTTCCAGCGCAACTCGCTGAGCAGGTAGGTTATCCTTCTTTTTAAATATACAGCACAGTATTGTTCAAGTTTGTTCGACATTGAGTGAGTAAAGTAGGATGTACTTTGGATTTCCCATGGTTTGAGCAGAATCAATTGAACAACGGATGTCCGGGCTGTGAGAAGCTGTGGACAAATGCACTTTCGAATATGTTTTTTTCTAGTTTTTTTCCTCTATTGAAGTGCTGAATTTGTAATTTAGTCACATCATTGTAAAATTAACATTTTATTTTCTAGTGTCAGTTATTTTACTCATTTGTGAATGTTTTTTTCTGCATGTGAAGCTTTTGAATGTTGTTTTCGTTAGTCGTACAGTACTTCCATCCAACCCTGCAAAACATTGTGCGCAAACACAGGATGATACAGTAACTCATTCTGATCGGATATTTGTCCTGAATTTTTCTTACATTAAATTTTCAATTATATTAGAGTGCCAAAAATGAATTAATTAGTTCTCCTCTAAAATCTATGGGAACATCAAATTTGGTTCAAAAAACTTTTCCGTTGACGAACTTGTCTGGAAACAATTCAGTTTGTTGACCAAGGGTCCATTATACCATATAATGTACCAGTATAAAGCCTCAATTATGAGATTTGCTTCTTAATTTCTGTGGCTTAAAAAATCAACGTGAAAAAATCTTCTAGTGAAAGATTCTCATTTTTCCTTGCTCTCAAAATTTTCGAAATTGAAGGAGACATTTGATTTTGCGCAACCATCTCCTATTGTATAGGCCAGGGAAGTTTCACCCAATTTTCAAATGGAAATACTGTATCTATGAAATTGAGAGCTAAAAGTCAGATTTTGAAGCTGGATTTTAAAATGTCCATTCAATTGTTCAGTCGTTTTCCGTTTTATGGTTGCTATTGTCTTATCGTTCGAAACACACTTCCGTGCGAAAATTATTTTCAAAGTAGAGGGAAACATTTCTTCAAACTCCCGTGTCGAAATGACTTCGCTTGAAAGAAACGTCGGCTAAAGTGGGTTTTGGAATTTTACAAATATTTCTGTATGCAGTAAATCTTATGGGTTTTTTTTTCGAATATTTCAGTTATTTCCATGTGCAGTATTTTCGTTTTTTGGCGTTTTCTTTCATCATTTCAAATTTTCAATGATGGAAAATTTAGTAGATGGTGCAGTGTGTACTTTTCCTCTATTGAATTTTGATTCTTCGCGGGGAAAATATCTCTGAAGGATTCATCTCCTTTTTTAAATTATTATTACCATATCGCCTTTTTTTTATTAACAGACAGTCAATGCGGTATAAATTGGCCGTAACAGCGCCTGCCGGTGTGACTGATGTGGCGCCGACGCATCACGGCAAAGTACATTCTTGCCTCACTTCTTTGGACCTTGCTTTGGACAAGGCTGCGCAGTTGACGAAGTTGAAGATCCTCCAGGACGAGATCAAGAGGTTGAAAGAGTTGAAGGATCGGTTGGAAGGTGCTGCAGCTGCTGCCGGCGGAGCCAAGGGAGTGATGAATCTTGCCTTGCCACAGTGGTTTCTGAATAACGATGAGCTGCATTGCCAAATAGAAGTGAGTGAAACGTCCGTCTCAGAAATTTGAGTTGCGCGTGTATAATTTTCTGGGTGCTCTTCCATTCGATCCCCAGTTTATTCGGTTTTTTGTTTATTTTTATTGGGTTACAGTATTGTATTGGGAAAATGTCGGTGATTCGCGTGACACCTGTCGGAAATTTTCTTAAAAAGTGATTCTTTTGTTTCTCGAGCCACTATGACAGAATTTCCTTCTGTCTGCATGTGCTATAGATATCACCTGAGTTCGCGGAGACATTTTTTTGGGTTCCTCGTTCTCTAATGGTCAACCTCCTCTATTCCACGATTTTCGTCGTTATCGAATAGGTGTCGCCTGAATTTGGCATATTTTAATTTCAACACTCTACTGTCTTGGAAATCGCAGTGAATTTTTCTGCGTTCTTTGCACGGGCAAACACTTGAGCACCCGGAATTTCTTGATTTTCTTTACCTTTACATAGGTGTCTCCTGAAGGATACGTTCCTAAAGGTGTTTCATAGGTTCGGAGGACGACGGTCGGAAATCCAAAATTACAATTTCATGCGTTGAATGAATCTTTTCTCTTCCCTCGTTTTGCACAATAAAATTATGGCTTTTCCGTTGACCTGAATTCACTGAGAATATTCTGAGTGAAAAGGCATCCGGTGTGTTCATTGTCATGTTATGAAAATTTTAGGTGCAGTTTTTGTCTGATGTCTGTGAATGCGTGTTTTGAATGGGCTAGACATATGTAAATATAATTTGAGATGAAGTATTTGATGCATGGGGTTCTTCATGTTTTTCAGGCGCTACAAAGGAAACATGCTTCAAGAGAGAGGGGAGCCAATGTTCCGAGGAGACGAAATGAGTTGACCGACGAGGAACAAGAGGATCGGAGGATAAGAAAGCTGTTGAAGAAGGCCGCTAGGGAGATTTACAGGCTTCGAAAGTCCGTCAATGCGTCAAGGAATCAACCGGATCTTGTCGCTTTTCGGTATGATAATTTTGTTCAGTTCCGTTGCCTTGATTTTCATCATTCGTAAGTCTTGAACTGTTGTGGGTTGAGAAAAGCTAGAAAGTAAATTTTTTTTTAAAACGCACTTGCACTGATACTCGTCGAACAGTACTGTACTTACAACTGAAATGCCTGAGTGTCAAATACAGGAGAATTCCGTTGCAGGTGAACTCTCCGTGCAGCGATTTTCTCCATAACCCGATTTTCGGGTGTCAGAGGCCGAGGGGTTCTCTGCCCATGTTGTAGGGATTCTCTATGAGGAAATCCTCTCTCCGAAGGATTTTTTTTTTTCGGGTCCCTCGAATTTCGTTGTAGAGAGTAGTTATAATTTATAACAAATTATTTCTTTGAGCGAATTTGTTTTTTTTGGTCCCAGTCCAATAGCCACAATGTTATTTTAAATGCGGTTCGATGGATTTTTGTTTGTAACTAAGTTTTTCAATGTCCGAAGTGCTTCGTTTTAACAAGATTCTACTGTATACCGCTTTTTCTCATTTTTAAACCTGCTAATGAAGCAGTGCCTCGGTTAATGTACGTGAACCGTTTTAGTGTAATATTTATCGCTGAACCCGATAGGTTGTAAATTGGATAATGTAAAGCTATGCCGCGTGGCTGATTGGTTCCAAAGCATACTGAGTACCGTACTTTAATAACATGTTAGGTGAGTACTTAAATGTCGAGCCGTATGGAATAGTACAGTAGTAGGTTCCTCCGAATCTTTTGGAAGGACCCATCAAATTTACTTAGGTTAGTGAATAGATAGATGTTCAAAAATGAGGATCAAAAAATAAAAGCAAAAGTTTTCAAAGGCACTGCGTTTGAACAACGATACGGTTGATCAATTTGATCAAATGTATTTTCTTTTATTTACTGACAATTATTTTCCATCTAGTTTATTATCAGGAGCAGTAATGTGAAACAGTCCGATGCCACTGTCGGGAAAATTTAATTAAAAGAAGCGTCAATAAGCAGGGAGACCAATGTACAATAATTAATCACTTATTTCGGTGCGCCACTTTATAGAGAAAAGATGGCGTTCTTCACCCGTCCGTCGCATTCGATGATCCCTGTGCCTCCTCGAGAAGACTCCGACGGCGAAGATGGCACCGACCTCAGGTCAGAGTCCTCGACACTGAAACGCGGAGAAGTGGAGATGTTGCGTCGACCGGACGACAAGGATGATGATGATGACGAGCCGCGTGGGATTGTCGTCTGAGGAAGAAAAGATCGATCATCGACGATGACGGGAAGTTTGTTCCATTTGTTGTGTATTCCCATGCTTATGGCTTCATAAGAAACGGGGTGGGAGGGGTTCGTATTGTTGGAAATTTTTCGGTCGGAATACGTTATTTTCGCTCCTGTTGTTGTTCCCTTTGTTTTCGGAATCACGTACGTGTAGTTTTCATTTTCGATTGCCTTCTTGCCTAGATCAAAGTTGAACACTCGTTGCATCGATTACTTGACACGAATTTATGAGTTCCTGGCTTTTTTTTCTGTGTGTTCTTGATTTATTGATGCTTTGGATTTTTTTCTTTCAAGTTCATGGTTGCATCTCTCTTATGACCTGTAGTAAAGTAGGTAACATTGCGAAGGGAACAATTTTGGGAGTGTTCGACGACCAACTCGAGTTGGCGTTTTAAGAAACTCAAAAGCGAATGTTTTTTTTTTTTTTGTGGCTTATTTGTGGACACATTCGCACAACTTGTGGCGAGAAGGGTGTTATACAAAATCTCCGACGGTGAAGGCTGTGCTTGACGCTGTTAGAATTCGCGGTTCTTTCAACGCTGGAAGAATTGGAACTGACTGCTCTGTGCCACTCGCACCTTCCAGTGAAATTTGTTCTCGTTTGTTCTATCTGCCACGGTGTAAGAGTCTCTTGTTGGAAACCGTTCTGGCAACTCCCGTGCTGTTGTATACGTTATTTTAAGATGGCAGTGATTTAAACTATAAAAAAATTGCTATTTTAATCAAAATTATTATGGAAGATGTAATGTCTTTGGCCATTGTTAAGAAAGGGTCATTAAATTTGGAAATTGGGCTATTCGAAATTTTGAGGAAAAATTTACTGGAAGTATTGGCCGGATAAATCGATTCGAAAGGTTAAATGAAGGTGGTTTTCGTTGTTCGTGGCCCTTCAGACTAAAAGACCCAGTCCATATCTGCATATTAGCAGCATTTAGTGTACGATTATGATTCTGTTGAATTATTCTACTGCACAGAAACGATGCTAATCTGCCTGAAAACCTCTTTATTGATCATTACATAACTCACACAATATAATGCACAATTTGATATTTTGAGATTTTAAAGAAAATACGTTGGAGAAAAACGCATTTTTTTGTGAAGATTGACTCGTATTGTCAAATTTTGTTGAATTCAGGAGCTATTTAAGCTAAATGACCCAATCCAGGAATTAAAATGAAATTTTTAATCATTACTAATAGACTAAGCATGCACAGTATAGCGTTGTTGACTGCATCATGGTGATTTTAAGAAGATTGAAAAGGCATCTTCCTGCTCAAGAACTCTCAATGATTCGAGGACAGAGTAAATTCGCCTGAATTTCCTAATGAGTGTATAATGATGATCAGGAGTAATCCAAGTCTCAAGGTTGCCAACTTCCAACAGTGTGTTTCTTCAGTGGAGAATTTTACGCTGATGAAATTGATCTACTGTTTGGATTATATTGATTTTGGCTATAAATCTGGCAGTTGATCAAAGGAAATAGTGATGAGTTGCCAGATTGGTTTACCCACGAGAGAAAAAAAAGAAAGTAGGTGGTAGAAAGTAGTGAATGAGGACGCAGTTATTTGCCATAGAATCTGTTACCCTTTTAGCTCTCCCTTCTTGCCGCGGCATTTCGTCGAAGTTCGCATTTTGTTTCCGCCCAATCGGCAAAGAGTTATGTTGGTCATTGGTGCTTGCTGGGGTGTTTTCCCCATGGAGATAGAAGAGTGCGTTATTTTTGTTTTTTTCTGGAGTGATGAAATTTAGATGAGCCTGGGGGTTTGAGAAGAGGAGAAAAAAATATTTGTTTTTAATCAAACGTGTGAAGGAAAGAAGCTGCGCCATCCTAACGCTGCCTTTTTTGTGTTTTGAAAAAGAAGAAACGTGGTAATGGAGAAGAGGATGAAGAAAATAAATGGAGGAGAAGAAACATTGTGACTTAACGGAGAAGAAGGAATTCAATAACTGTTCGTGTTGTACAGTGTATTTTTATAGCGTCCCTAGGTTCTTCCATGTCTATTTCGCCGAAGCTTTTAACGAATTCGCGGGATTTGTTTCTAACTTGTCGTTTTTTTTTGCCAGCATTTTTGTTTTTTTGTCTTGCGGAGTCTTGTTGCAAGGTTGTGAGGAACTTCCGAGAGAACGCAATGAAAGCAAGGAAAAGAATTCGAGTTGTTATCGAATATTTTTGCTGGCTGCTGATTTGGTTTTTCCTTTCTTTTCTTTTTTTGGTGAAGGGCAAATTTTCATATTTTGTGGATTCAACTTATTGTGTTTCAGATTTATTTCCTGCTTTGCGAAAATGCTGCTGCTTAAACCACGTCAACAAGCCCATCCATTCCTGAGTCCCATTCTGTCACTTCCTGAAGCCTTCAAATGGACAAATCAAAATTGTGATGACATTAGGAAAGCAAGAAACATTTCAAGTATTTACTGCATCTCATGGTTTTGCGTATGTGAGGGGTAATTCTGCAAATGAATTGAAAAATGTCATGACATGAATTCAACTTGGCATTAGTGAAGGTGAATAAATTTTATACGGTTGTATATGTTTCTCGTTGAAAAACGTAGACACGCTTAATTTAACGTACAAACTGGATTTATTCTTTTTCTTGTTGCCAGACTCAAATTGAACCGTAATTCACATAAGTATGAGTTAATTCAAAATTACGACCAAGTTTTTTGGGCGCCATTTTTAGTTAACAAGACTGTCATAATTGTCGATACTTTCATCTGTCATGAATATCCTTTTGTGGTTTGTCATTAATGGTGTTAGTTTTTACAGTAAATAGAGAGGTTTCTGTACCATATTTTTCTGCTTGGTCATTCATTATTATCGGACCAGCGAATTTAAATCTAATATGACTAGACCTGAATGCGCAAGTTTTTTTTAAAATAAAATTATAATCTAACGAATTTCTTTGTAACAAAATTTCTTGGTTGCAACGAATAGATTTGTGAGTTCGAACCAGGTTTGTGGCAATTTTTTCAAAGCTCTTCACAAATAATTTTTCAACACTACAAAACTTTTCCCATGTCATAAGGGCTTTGTTGTAACGAGATTTTACTATATTTTCTCAAATTTCAAGTTGAAGGATGGGACTCAGAATGGCAGTACCCAACAATCCACAAGTATCACATCGCAAGAAAGGCAATATTGTGGTACTTTTTTTTTGCTTACCCCTTTTCATTTCTCTCCATTTATTTTACCTTTCAAAGCTTTCAAAATACAGTGCACTAAATTGCCCACAACCTAAACTCAAATTGAAATAGCTGATGCCTGGCAAAATTTTAAATGGGTTTTTTTTATCAGACTTGACTCAAGTTCTGTGGACGATCTTGGTGTTGGGAAAAAATGTAGATTAATGTGCTGATTTTGCAGGGAGACGCCATGGTTGTGAGGGAGGCGAGTTTGGGAATAGGAGGTGATCTGTTGGTGAAAGACTTGATGAGTGAAGAAGTTGACTTGGTTGTGGTGGTTTTGTGCGGGATGTTCATTTTGGCGCTGATGAAGTTGGCAGGCAACGAAATTCGGATGCCGGTGCCGACGGCGGTGCAAGTGCGGTCAGCTTTGGGATAATATTTACACACACACAAATTCCGAGGCAGTAGTTTCCATTTTTTAAACAACCGAGGAATCCGAGTGCATTTTTGCAAGGAATTCCTGGACGATGCCTTCTGGGTATGATCGCGTTGCTTGCCAAGACCCGCTGTCTTTTGAGTCCATATACACCTATGGCTCGGCTTTTGGAGCCTCTCACCGACGTCAATACGAAGGTTGGTTTCTTTTTTTTTTGCTACAGATGGTAAAGATATACAAAATGTGAAGATTTCTTCAAGTTGCCGGAGAATTCTCAGTTCTCTTGAAATTTCAGTTGGTGTCTGATAAATGCCGTGACCGAAAAATACCAATTGAGAACCAAAGAATCATGTGTGAATTCATTTACAACTGAAACGCTCGACGAGAAAATTAAAAATTTCTAAAAACCATCTAAATTCAGCGGAAAAGCTGGTCATCAATGTGCGTGTCACATCCGATCATATGGTTATGTTACCGTAATTCATTTCAAGTCCCGTAGCAGTGCGAAAGGTTAATCAGTATCATTCATTGTATCTCGGTGTTGAATTCTCGTTATCATTCGATACATTTTTTCCCGTCAATGGTGTTCCTTTTTTGGTAGCTTCATTTTTTCGAATGCTGGTCCACTATGAAATCTAAAATACAGTAATTTCGAATCAAAACAGATGAAACGGACTCGCGTGAAATGAACAAATGGGAATCCGGCTTTCGGATATTCGTGCTTTCGCTCCTCATGATTATGCTGATCCCGTTTTCACCCATCGTCTTATGGAGGTGTTTGCATCATTTGCCGCAATATGAACGAGTTTCCGTCATTCGACTCGGTCAGTGAACACTTTTTAATCAGTATACAAGTGAAAAGTGAATTATTCTACTTAATCCCTCTGGTTTATAGGGCGATTTTCTGGGATTAAGGGACCGGGTTACGTTTTACTTCTGCCGTGTGTGGATTCTTGGAGGAAGATGGATTTGAGAATGAAGATTCTCGTTATCCGCAACGTTCAGGTTTGTGTTTTTTCCATGCACTGTTTTAAGAGCCAAAATTAATTAAATAAGGTAAAATCCGTTTCGCAGTGCGTGACCAACCAAAATAAATGTCGTAGTCCGTGACCAACTTTCGGAATGTGACGGTTTAACATTATTACAAATTACTTGGCGAACGTTGATTCAATTCCCAGTTGTTTAGATTAGACCACAATTAATTGCTGGAAGAAGTTCGCAATATGTATCAAGGCCAAATATAAGTAAACTAATAAGCGCGTGTAAATAACCTAATCTATCCCCAATGAGGTAGCCTGAGATTATTCCAAACTTATCATCTGACGCGAGTCGAAAGCTATGCAAATTAAGTGTATACAGTATATTGATGAAACAGGGAAAAATCGTCAGTGACGCCAACTTGAAGTTATGGAATGCTTTTGGAATCCGCTTTTTGTGAAAAATTAAGAAAATGGAACCAATACGCAAAATTTTTAAACTTTTTTGTCACTTGTATTGAAAATGAATTTATTTTTCACCCGAATTAAGATTATTGTAAGCTTATTTCTTGCGAACAAAGCATGGATGGTCGGAGTTTCTTAGGTTGGTCATGTGCAGCAAAATCTCGAGGTTGTTCTCTAGTGCATTACTGTGTATATTATTTCGTCAAAGACTGTATCATAATACAGTATTTCCCGTAAATGATCACGTGATGGATTACCAGGTTGTGACGAGCGACACTGCGGTTGTTAATCTCAACGTGGAGGTCCTGTACCGAATTTTCGATTCGGAGTCGAACGTTCTGAAGATCAATGATCCTGAGGTAAATCTGCCCCGAGAACAGCTCAGATGTTGATGACCGACCATACATTGAATTCAAACTTTTATCTCGTAGAAAACCCTCGAGTCATTGTGTCGATCGACGATCGTAAACAAAGCAGTTTCATCCAGTCAGAAATTATTGGTGAAAGATCGAAGAGCCATTGGAGATTCCGTGCGAGAGAAACTGAACGACGCTGTTCGCAAGTGGGGCTTTGAAGTTTCTGAAGTGACTCTGTAAGTGGCGTTCTTGAATATATTGCTTTCTTCGATGCACATGGAGAGAAAATGCCGCCGAGAAAAAAGGGTGCATGAGAAAATTCTCGCGGAACCAGTTGATTTTCAGACGCACTGAAAATTTCGAAGATCAGATTTAAATGCTGAAAAGCTGCATTTTTCTCAAATACATGCTCAGTTCGGCTAATTTTTGAATAATTGTATGCGCATTATTTTGCAGCATTGATATGTTTTATGCAAGGGGCTTTTGAGGTGACAGAGTTTGAAAAAGATATGAGGATTAGAAAATGAGAATCATTGCTCCAAATTTCAATCCATAAATTTAGTGCTCAGGAGTGCTACGCAAAATTTGAATTAATGTCGGAAATTCGAAGAAAATTTTATTTTTTGCAGTTATTGTACTTCGTTGAGGTACTGCAATTAAAGTATGAAGAAAGTGAATTTAAAATTTTACTTTCTGGCGTTTATGCAGGGCATTTCCTGTGCTGCGTCATTTTTTTTTCGCGGCATTTTCTCCGAATTGCGTCATTGCAGATCATTCCAGACCTTAATTGTTGTTCGACAGACATGAAGTAGTTGTCCTTCAGAAGGCTGTAGTCGTGGAAAAGAATCCGTTGGAACCGCTGAATCAAGTTTTTCAAAGCCTCGTTGGATTGAAAAGCGATGCGTCCCATCAAAATCCTTTATTGCAGTCTCTAACAGGTACAGTAATGACAAGTTTTGGTTTCCTTAATACAGTATTTCTATCCAGTACACTGGGTTTCGCGGAAATCTTTCGAATCGACTTCGCATCGTCATTGCAATAGCTATCAATTTTTAAAAGCAATTCGTCGTTATAGGAAGAAATTAAATCTTATGCCTTTCGAAGAACATGAGGAATTATTTAGTTTTAAGAATGAAGTGTCTGTGTATCGAAAAAAGGACACCTGAAATAATTTTCTGACGATTGCCTAACCACCACTTCGGTCAAAACAATTTCTTGAGAGGATCGAAAAATGTTAGTTGGCTATGAAAATTGCGTAAAAATCATAAAATATTAATCTTTCTTTTTAAAAAAAGTGCCAGGAAAGGGAAACTTCTGATTAGAATGAGCTCACCGAGCATACAAGTGTTGTAGGATACCTATAAAAAACACAGGACTAGTTCAGACAGTTTTGATGCTATGTCTTCCAAATTGAAAAAAATGATAAATAGCTCCAGCATGCACGTTCTTTCAATTTCTCTGTGCTGATGCCCCTTTTAGGGTGATATTGTATAGGTTTCTTGAATCATTTATAATTGATTCACGCCTTCACGCTTAATATCATTATTCTGAACAGAAAATAATTATGATTACATTACATCACTGCATCTGTTATGCTTGCAATTGAACATTTTTCGATGACTTGATTGTCTTTCCGGGAAACCTTCGTGTACCGTATCATAATCACCTAATATTATTAAAATTAGGTCATATGAAGGAAGCGTTTCGAGAGACGATGTCTGAAGGAGGAGAGGCGAGTTTCGTGATTGACTTTTCCTCGGACGTTGAGGATCACCACAAAATCGATCAACCACCGTCACGTTTGAAAATCGCCTTGGACAAAGCGATTTCTGCGGTGAAAACAAAGCCGGGTCCCGAACAATGCGGATTATATTGTGTGGAACCTGCTGGGAAACCAAGAGTTTTTGTCATCTTATCTGAACGTAAGCTGCGTCAACTGAATGAGAGTCTATGGTTTTTGCATTTTTACTTGACTGTGTGGAATTTGTGACCAATCTTGAAGTCTATATGTTTTATTTAGTTTCTGAGACACCAATTTTGAAAGCAGTGTGATGAGCCACACGCTTCCTAGTAAAGTATGGCTTATTTCGAATGAAACGTTAGATTGAAATCATGTCCTTATTTCCGCGTAATTTTAGAGCTAGCAGCTGCCACGTACTATTCAAAATCTTGAAAGATTAATTTTAAAATTCAAAAATTTGCCAGCCCATTCAACAATTCCGTGAGGCTACATTTGGTAAAGTATCAATGCATATAGCACTAAATTAAGTTTAAACTTCATTAAATAAGGGAACTTTGATACTGTACCTCAAAAATTATTGTCTATTGTGGCCTGCAATGACTCTCCATCTCTTCGATGTGGCCCTTGGCCATAAAAAATTGTATTATTGTGCACCTTGGCCACATCTGAGTTGGGCAGCATCACTGTAACACTAGCTAATGGAAAAGTTTTGTGGAATCACATCTCCACACACTGATGGGACCTGGAAAAACCTTCTTATAATAAAAAAATGTGTTATATTGAGACTCAAATTACATTTCTGGGACTTCGAAAATAATTTTTCATGATCACATTACTGTATGAGTTGTAAAAAATTCTGCTGTATAGTCCCTTTGTATGTACGGTTCAGTGCAGTATAGGATTTCCACCCTGTCCTCAGATTTTTTCAGTATTTAAATATCTTTAGCGGTTGGCCTCTTGATATTTTGCCTATTTCTCATCAATACGTTTCTCTATTTTCATTGACAGAAGCTTACATCACATAAATTAGGCCGTTTTTTAAAGGGTGGATATTTATTAAATATGTGTTATGAATATGTTACTCAAGTTTCAGTTTTACTTAGGTCAAAAAACAAGTTACGACAATTTCATTTTATTGTGCTGGACAGCAGCAGGGCATTGCTCTGAAGGGTCAATAGTACGACAGTCCAAAAATGTTGTGCTGTCATTTTGGCCTCACGTATATGGTCCGTAACTGACTACAGTACTCAATTAATTACAGTACTGTATAGCGAAGTTGTTTCTGCTGTACGTTCTGTGACATATATCACTCCAACTAGTTTTGAGGACTTGAAAATTTTTCTGCAGGATGCTGGGTTGAAGAAGGGGAATCATGTTCATTGAATATCGAGCCGGATGTCAAGATACATGCGGAAGACGAAAATGCTTTACTGGATGTGGTGGAAGGTCGAGTTTCACCCTACGAAGCGTACTTTTCTGGCACTGTTGTCGTGACTGGCAACGTGAGGAAATTAATGACTTTATCGAATTTCCTGGAAATCTCCGTTTGAACAAGCTGTAGGGTACACATTTCAAGTACTGCACGGTACATGGAATGATCTAGTCATAACCATTTTTTCAGCTTGCCCCATTGTGAGTTGCGCACCATTTATGTTTGAATGTTGGACGGAAAAATGAATAAGCTTTCTTGCACGACTGAATTTTTTTTTACGAAATGCGTCAGTTTGACTCGATTCCTCAATTACGATTTTCGAAGTAATATACAGTACAGTACTGTATTCATGTTAAGGGTGAAGCCACTCACCAAAGAAAATATTTTGCTTTGAAATTCTTGACGTTCATTTGGTCCAACCTATTGACCGTACTCCGGAATGAATGATGTCACGCTTGCACTGCGTAGTTGAGGACCGGAAGTGTCGTGCCGTGTTTGGAGGTGACCGGACGTTATGGTACACTTTCAAACTCAACGCAACTCACTTCCACCCTGCCCCCCTATAGGGCTGTTCCTTCCACTCCCTCTCTCAGCGCCACAAATGAGTGACTTCATGAACTGCGTATGCTTGCAGATAGGAATTACATGTTGAAGAATGGTGTAAGAAGATAGCATACTATTCAATACATAAACTTGCAGCATTCTTAATGTTTTATTCTTGTTATTTTATGAGAAGTGTTTAGTGGTTTCCAAAAGTGGTAAACACATTCAAAGGTATTCCATCACTACTGCTGATTTGTGCAAATGACTTCCAAAC